TATACTGATCATAAGAGTTTGCGACATTTGTTCAGTCAGAAAGAATTGAACATGCGGCAACGTCGGTGGATTGAACTTGTAAATGATTATGATTGTGAAATCTTCTACCACCCGGGAAAAGCCAACGTGGTAGCTGACGCTTTGAGTAGGAAAGAAAAGAGTGGAACTGTTAAAGCTGTGGCAATGAGAATGAATTTGGTTCCTGACATTCGTAAGGAAATTCAGAGATGTCAACAAGAAGCTATGAAAGAAGAATTTGTTAAAACAGAAAGGTTGGGTAAAATGATTTCAACCTTGGAACCGAATGACGAAGGACTAATGTGCTTTCAAGGGCGAATCTGGGTACCGTGTATTGGAGATATCCAGAGCACTATTAAATGAAAGTCATAAGTCCCGATACTCTATTCATCCAGGTACCAATAAAATTTATAGAGATTTGAAACCTTTTTATTGGTGGCCCGGGTTGAAAAGGGACATAGCTAAATATGTGGAACAGTGTCTGACATGTCTACAGGTTACGATTAAACATCAGAAGCCGCATGGAAGCCTTCAATATTTAGAGATACCTGTATGGAAATAGGATTACATTACAATGGATTTCGTCATGAAATTGCCTCAAACTCAAAAAGGGAATGACGTAATTTGGGTTATTGTTGATCGTCTATCTAAATCTGCACATTTTCTGCCAATAAGAAAGAAATACTCTCTAGAAAAGCTAGCACAAATTCATATCAAAGAAATAGTGATCAGGCATGGTATTCCAATATCTATTATTTCTGATAAGATAGTCGGTTTACTTCACAATTCTAGGGAGGGTTGCAGAAAGCTTTGAGATCTGAAATCTGACTAAACTTATCATCCGCAAACTTACGGGCAGAGTGAAAGAACAATCTAGACTCTTTAAGACATGTTGAGAAATTGTATTATTGACTTCGGGGGATCGTGGGAAGATCACTTGCCATTAATATAGTTTGCATATAACAATAGTTACCATTCCAGCATCCAAGCGGCACCGTATGAAGTATTGTATGGACGTAAATGGCGAACGCCATTGTGTTGGAATGAGGTGGGTGAAAGACAGCTAACGGGTCCTGAAATTGTCCAACAAACTTCTAAGAAGATCGAACAAATCCGTGAAAGAATCAGACCAACACAAGATCGCCCAAAAAGTTATGCTGATAATCGTCGAAAGACGATCGAATTCTGTGTAGATGATTTTGTGATGTTAAAAGTTTCACCGTGGAAGGGTGTTATCCGATTCGGAAAGAAGGGTAAGCTCAATTCGAGGTATGTTGGGTTGTTCAGAATATGTAATCGAATTGGGCTAGTGGCATATCAGTTAGAGCTACCAGAAGAACTAAGTTTGATTCACGACACTTTCCTTGTATCGAATCTGTGGAAATATTTAGCTGATCCGAGTCTAGCTGTACCGCTGCCAAAGGTTAAATTAGACAGTAAGTTGAACTTTGTGGAAACACCAGAAGCTGTAATTGACCGAAAGATTAGGGTGTTGAGAAACGAAGAGATAAGTCTTGTTAAGGTTCAGTGGAAGTTTCACAAAGGACCAGAAGCGACATGGGAATTGGAGTCAAAGATGAGATCAGAGTACCCTTGGCTCTTTGATTAAAGGAATTCTGGGATGGAATTCTTTTAAGGGGTGGATGATGTGATAATCAGATCTTGGTTGTCACCTGAGGTAATGAATATGTGATTATTTGTTATATATGATTATGTGATAGCATGATAAATTGATACATTTGATTATGCTAGTATGTGAAAATGTGCATAATATAGATGCATGAATGAGATTATGTGTATATGTTGATGCACATGTTTGTATATATATATATATATGTGTGTGTGTGTGTGTGTGTGATATGCAAGCATGTATATGCATGTGTGTATGAGTGTATATATATATATGTGTGTATGTGTGTGTATGTGTGTGTGTGTGAGGTGAGTGTATGCATGTGGGGAGGAGGCTGTGTTGGCCGACCTTTCTAGTTTTAGAAAAGTATAAAAGGAGGGTTTGACCTCCATTACATCTCTTGCCATCTTTGAAATAAGTTTGAGCGATTTAAAGAGAGTGGTTGACCGGATTTCCTTGTTTTGAATTACAAGAAGAGTGGTTTCAAAAAGGTAAGTGGTTTAAACTGCTTTTGACTCTTCATAACTGAATAACTGATTGTAGAACTTTATTCTTGATTTAAAAGTTTAACCTTTGAAGTGTTGTCCGGAATACGCTTAAACCGGCCAAGAGTCAGGCGGTTTAGCCATAAACCGGACAAGGGCTGGGCGATTTAAGCCCTAAACCGGATAAGGCATGAGCGATTTATAAATAAACCGCTTGATGAGTGTTGTCCGGATTAGACTTAAACCGGTCAAGAGTCAAGCGATTTAGTCTTAAACCGGTCAAGAGTCAAGCAATTTAGTCTTAAACTGGACAAGAGTTGAGCGATTTATAAATATTGAGTTTGTTAAATATTTTGAACGAAGTAGTATGAATACGACCATGTGTTGACCGGATTATTTTAAATCGGACAAGCCTTGGGCGATGTGCTGTCCAGATTTGTTATCCGGACAAAAGTATTGAAATTCTCTTAAGTGTTAAATCGGACAGGCTTTGGACGATGTGTTGTCCAGATTTGGTAAATCGGCTAAGACTTGACCGGAGATGAAGTCCGGCCAAGTCTATGTTGACCGGATTTGCATTATGATTTGTACATAGTTTATATATATACTTGTTTTTATATATATATATAATGGGAATTTTGATAAAGATGGTCTTGAACTGATAATTCCATTGACTGCGGTCTAAATGGAATTGTTTTGTGAAATGATTTGATGAGGAAATAAGGGTGGCATATCAAGGAGAGGTGTACCATGGGGTAAGGGTGTCATATCAAGGAGAGGTGTACCACGGGATAAGGGTGGCGTATCAAGGAGAGGTGTACATTTGGATATAAAGGTGGCAATTGTATGTATGTGTTATATAATATAACTCTTACTATCACATCCCTTAAGATTACTGTGGTCTGGAATCTTTATTTCTTTGTGATTTAAAGATTTAGGATCAGGGTTCTTATTGGAAATTATAGTTTGAATGTTATAGAGAGGGGGATAACAGGTTTGGCCTGAAACTTTGCATAAACCTTGCTTGAATAGAAAAAGGTTTAAAAGTGGCACTATGTTAATGTGCCTAATATAAACCTATTTAGAGTTGATGTATTATTTGCAAGCAAAGATTATTGGCCTGAAAGGTGAAAGGTATTAATATTATGTTCTCACTTTTTCATATATTGAATATATATATATATGAAAAGTTGTCTTATTTAAATGTTTTGGTGATTATCACCCTGCAATGTCAAAAATAGGGTAACTCACTGGACCTTTCGGTCTAACCCTGGTTTTGTGATTTTAAATATGAATTGCAGGTGGTGCTGACGGTAAGGGAAAGGGAAAAATGTAAAATTTCCATATATGTATATCTATGTGAAGATTTCGCTATGTTATGAATAGTTTTGTTAGTCGAACATGAAACAGTACAAGATTTGTATTTTGAAATTTTGGACCATGTATTCTGTACTGATAATTATTGTACTAAGGGAGCTATGTGGTGTATAAATATGTATTTCTATGTATGAAATATATGTTACATGCAATGTGTGGTATGAGGTGTTACACCAAAGCTTTTGGATAACCATGCTTTTGACTTAAAGTGAAAGTGTTATGAGGAACCAGAGAGGCTCTGGTTGTTCTTTGAAAGGAACTAGAGGAGATCTGGTCATTCCTTGAATAGAACCAGAGGGGCTCTGGTTAATCTCTGTCTATAATAAAAGTTATTTTCAAACTCCTATATGGACCAGAGGATCTGTATATGTTATATAAAGTATCTGTGTCATATATGTTGTATTTCAAATTGATTATAAAACTTTATTCTCTTATTTTAACTTAGAGAATTGTTTATATGAAGTGACTTTGGCAAAGCAAGACGAGCAAGAGGACCTCTGGTTAGTCTTCGCAATTAAACTAGAGGAGCTCTGGTTGGTCTGTGCAATTGAACCAGAGGTTCTGGTTAGTAGGACCAGAGGCTCTGGTCATTTATAAGATTTCAATTTATACTCTTCATATACTTGGAAAATATTTGCATTCATTCTATGTACATGACTTTGTAAATTTATGAATGATTACTTGAGAGGAACTCTGGATGATTGAACCAAAAACTCTGGACAATGGAACCAGAGGGGCTCTGGCCATACTGTTTTATAAGTAAATTTCTCTTAAGTCAAGATCTGGTCCTTAGAACCAGAGGGGCGATGGTCGAGGTGATCTATCAGATTATGTTTCTATTTATATGAAAAGTTGATTTTAAATAATGTTTTGGTGATCTTCACCCTGTAAATACAAGGAAAAAGGGATCTCACTAGACCTTCAGCTCTAACCCTCATTTTGTCTTTCAAATATGTATTACAAGAACAACTGAGTACCATGATAATAAAGGGAAAGGGAAAATGTAATTTGTTTTCCTACACACAAAACTATGTGAAGATCAGCCTATGGATGTGTTTAGTTTTGGAGATGTATGTTATGTAGTACAAGAATTTGTATTTTGGAATTTTTGGATTGTATACTTTGTACTTTAGTTTCTTGTACTATGGGACCTTAGTGGTGTAATACATGTATTTCTTTGAATGAATTATGTGTTATATGAAATGTGAGATGTGGGGTGTTACAGAAGTGGTATCAGAGTCTGAGTTTATGGGATTTAGGTATTCAAAGCATGRTGCCTAGACTTAAACTGTTTCATTGCATATTAAGGGTCCCGGACATAGTTAGCACAATTGGAAATAAATATGATGGGTTAAGGGATCTGTGTGTAAGTTATATTTGAATTACATTTGGACAATGTAATTTTGAATCTACAGGTACATATCTGAACTTGGACACCTTATTATATTTGGGAATGTGAATATGTGATTATTAAACATTAAAATTTGCAGATGACTAGTCGATCTCGAAGGTCTGAAAGGATCGTCCGCCGCAATCCTAATGATGCAGAGGATTCCCCTATTGTTGCTCCTATTAATACATGAGAATGTAGAGGCAAAGGTGGAAATAGAGGTAGAGGGGGAGGTAGAGGACAAGCCAGAGGCAGAAATAGTCAATCTGAGACTCATGCTGATCATGGAGAATGTAACTCTGAGAATGTTAATCAAGAACAGATGCCCTATACGGAGTATGTAACCAGAGACATGTTAGCTGAGGAAATGGGAAAGTTAAGAGAAACATTGACATCCATTATGAGAATACCTGCTAGAATCGAAACTGAAAGAGTTGAGATAAATAAATCTGTTCCAGTTACAAACAACAAAGAGGGGGATATCAAAATGTTTCTAACATGCAAACCTCCAACTTTTTCTGGAGAATGAGATCCAGTTAAATCCATGTGCTGGATCAAGGAAATAGAGTCTGTATTTAACACTATCAGATGCTCAGAGGCAGATAAAGTCATGTTTGTTGTTTTTGTATTAAAGTCTAACACACTATTTTGGTGGGAAGTCGAATCTTTGGCTAGAGCAGATATTCTACAAACATTATCTTGGGCAGAATTTGTAAACAAATTTAAAGAGCAGTTTTGTCCAAAGGTAGCTGTAAGACAGATGGAGGAAGATTTCTTGAAACTAGAGCAAGATACATGAACTATTCAGGAATATACAGAGAAGTTCATTGAATATTCTCGATTTGCTGAGCATTATATCTCATCTAAATCAAGAAAAGTAGAAAGATATATTTGGGGTTTAAAACCATCTATTCGGGAATTTGTGATTGCCATGAATCCTGCTACATTTTCCTTGATTGTGGACGCAACAGAAGTTACTGAAAGGAATAAGAATAGGCAGGAAGAGGGAAAAGTCGCTGAAAATAGAAAATAGGAAGGACCTTCAACTGGTTACCGAGGACCGAAATCTGTGAAATATGGTAATAAACCTATTCAGAAATTTAATGGAAAAGCCTGTCCCTGGTGTCATCAGATTCATCAAGGCGACTGCAAAACAGATTTAAGGAAATGTTATCAGTGTGGTGAGGCAGGTCACTTGTCAAGGAACTGCCCAATTTCTAAAAGATGTTTCAATTGCAATTCATCGAATCATCTTCGATCTAATTGCCCACAATTAAAGACTCCACACTTGACTATGGGAAGTAATACCTCAAGTGCCCGTGGAAGACTAGATATAAGTAGAGGAGGGAAAGGAAGGGCGCAGGGTCGATCATTTCAAATGACTAAGAAAGAGGCCGAGACCACATCAGATGTAGTAACAGGTACATTTCTCGTAAATTTTCTATATGCTAAGGTGTTATTTGATTCAGGTGAGAACTTTTCCTTCGTATCACCATCATTTGCTAAAATTGCATGCATGACTTCTATGCCACTTGACGATAAATTAGTAGTTGACACTTCTAATAGTCAAGAATATGTTGCTTATGTATTCAATAACTGTGCCATTGTTATTGAGTGTGAGTTACCGATTCGACTGTTCCCAATGCCGATGAAAGAATTCGATGTAGTAGTGGGAATGGATTGGTTAGCTGATAATCAGGCAGCTATTCTGTGCAATTGAAAAATGATTATAATTATCTTACCTGGTAGAGGGTCAATTGTTATTTATGGTGATCTTCAGAATCATCATACCAGTCTTTTATCTGTGTTAAAAGTTCGTAAGTGTATTTAGAAGAAGTGTTAGGGGTATTTGGCCTATGCAATTGATGCAAAGAAAGAAAAAGGGAAGCCATAGCTGATTCCAATTGTTAATGAATACCCAGAAGTCTTTCCAGAAGACTTATCTGGTCTACCACTAGACAGAGCTGTTGAATTTAGGATTGATCTTATACCTGGGACAACACTAGTAGCTAAAGAACCATATCGATTAGATCCATTAGAACTAAAATAATTGGTTACTCAGCTAAAAGATCTTCTTGACAAAGGATTTATTATACCCAAAACTTCATCCTGGGGTGCTCCGGTCCTCTTTGTTAAAAAGAAAGATGGGTCTATGCGAATGTGTATTGACTACCGAGAATTGAACAAACTAACGATCAAAAATAAATATCCTTTACCAAGGATCAATGACTTTTTTGATCAACTGGTGGGAGCTAGTTATTTCTCTAAGATTGATTTAAGATACCATTAGCTCAAAGTCAGAACAACTTTCCGACCCAGGAAACGGTCATCATGAATTTTTAGTTATGCCATTCGGCTTAACTAATGCTCCTATAGCCTTTATGGGTCTAATGTATCGGGTATGTAAAGAATATCTTGATGAATTCGTTATTGTATTTATTGATGATATTCGCATATACTCTAAAACTGAAGAAGAGCACACAAAACATCTTCGTTTGACACTCGAACTTCTAAAAAGAGAAAAGTTGTATGCAAAGTTGTCCAAGTGCGAATTCTGGCTAAGAGAAGTCCAATTTCTAGGGCATGTTATATCAAAAGCAGGGGTAAAAGTAGATCCAGCTAAAATAGAGGCAGTCGAGAAATGGGATGCACCAAGAACCCCTTTCGAAGTCCGAAGCTTTCTGGGATTGGTAGGCTATTACCGTAAATTTATTCAAGATTTTTCCAAAATAGTTGTGTCATTGACCAAATTGACTCGAAAGAAGATTAAGTTTCGATGGGAAGAAGAACAGCAAAAAACCTTTCAATTATTGGAAGATCGTCTTTGTAGTGCCCCAATATTATCTTTACCAGATGGGTCAGAAGACTTTGTAGTCTATAGGATGCTTCAAAACTAGGTTTGGGTTGTGTTTTAATGCAAAGGGGGAAAGTAATTGCATATGCATCCAGACAACTGAAGGATCATGAGAAACAATATCCAACACATGATATGGAATTGGCAGTAGTGGTATTTGCATCGAAAATATGGAGGCATTATCTATTAGGAACAAAGTGCTAGATTTACTCTGATCATAAGAGTCTTCAACATATGTTCAACTAAAAAGAGTTAAACATGCAGCAACGTCAATGGATTGAATTAGTTAATGATTACGATTGTGAAATCCTTTATCATCCAGGAAAAGCCAACGTGGTAGCCGACGCTTTGAGTAGAAAAGAGAGAAGTGGAACAATCAAAACAGTGGCAATGAGAATGAACTTAACCCCTGATCTTCATAAAGAAATTATGAAATGTCAGAAAGAAGCTGTTAAAGAGGATCTATGAAAGTAGAAAGACTGGGTAAAATGATTTCCACCCTGGAATTGAATGATGAAGGAATTATGTGCTTTCAACGACGAATTTGGGTACCACGCTATGGGAATATTCGGGAAACTATTTTGAATGAAAGTCATAAATCCCGATATTCTATTCATCCAGGTACCAATAAAATGTATAAAGATCTAAAACATTTCTATTGGTGGCCTAGATTAAAGAGACACATAGCAAGGTATGTGGAACAATGCATAACATGTCTGCAAATCAAGATTGAACACCAGAGACCTTATGGAAATCTTCAATCTTTAGAAATTCCTGTATGGAAATGGGATCATATCACGATGGACTTTATCATGAAATTATCCCGAACTCCAAAAGGATATGATGCAATCTGGGTAATTATGGATCGTTTATCTAAATCTGCACATTTTCTACCGATAAGAGAAGGTTATTCTTTAGAAAAGGTTGGCTCAGATTTATATCAAGAAAATTATAACGAGACACGGTGTTCCACTATCCATCATATCTGACAGAGATAGTCGCTTTACTTCAAAATTTTGGGAAGGTTTTCAGAAAGCTCTAGGGTCTCAAATTCAATTAAGCACGTCATATCATCCACAAACAGATGGAAAAAGTGAGAGAACCATCCAGACTCTCGAAGATACATTAAGAACTTGTGTTATTGACTTTGGAGGATCATGGGACGATCATTTGCCATTAATAGAGTTTGCATATAATAATTGTTATCACTCCAGCATCCAAGCGGCACCTTATGAGGTTTTATATGGACGTAAATGTCGAACGCTGTTATATTGGAATGAAGTGGGTGAGAGACAGTTGACAGGTCCCGAAATTGTTCAAATAACTTCTGAAAAGATTGAACAAATCCGTGAAAGAATCAAAACAGCTCAGGACTGCCAGAAAAGTGTTGGTCCCTTGAGGGTCTACAAGATAAGTAAACAGTTTGTAGAGGGGGAGATGAATACAAACACAATATTTTCAAATTTAAAATGTATATTGATAGAGAAGATCAATATAATTTTACAAGACTGTTTGCGAAAAGATAAGGTAAGAAAACCTATCTAAATAATCTTTAGTTACACACAAATTCTTAGCAAATGAGAAAATAAATGTTGTAAAGAAAAGTTCTTTTACTTAAGCTCGAAAATGCTCAAAGTAAGAATTAAGTTTAGAGAGTGAGTTGCGCGCTTGCTGCATGGAGAAGAAACACTTCTATTTATACCCAATGCATTAAATGTTCATTTAATGCAATATGGTAGGGTTAGAGTGCGTGTCAAGCCTTAAGAGGAAGGCTTGTCCTTTGCTATAGTGTGTAGTAAAAAAAGCACTACTCATGAGCACACATCCTTACCTAAAGTTGGTGGGCAATAGAGTCGACTAGTCGACTCCGTACCATAGTAACTATTATAAAGGATACGATTTTGTCCTTTGTGTGCATAAGGACAAGACAGTAACAATCGTGCTAAGCAAGATTCCTTTGATCGCTGAATACTGGAATTACCTGAAGGTCTCTTCAGCATTTGCTGAGGCTTGAGCAGTCTTCAGACATATGTAAACAGACTTGTAATCACTGAGTACCGCTTCAGATGACGTACTCGCCAGTCTCTAATCTTTAGTTTTAGTCTTCGACATTAGCGGAAGGTTCTTTGGTGTGAGTGTTGTCTTCTTGAAATATCACTATATTTGATTGAATTACAATACAAGTTCTTCAGCGATCACTAAACAGGTTCAGTGATGATCACTAGAACTGAAAAGAAACAGAAACATAAATACAAGGTACAAGTGAAAAGGGATTATCATCAAATCACTGAGAGAGAGGATCAACAATCTCCCCCTATTTGATGATTCAATAAAAATAC